TCCTCTGATGCTGCTTGGCCTGCTGTGTTCATCCAGCTCTACACCTTAATATTAAGGGGGTATCTGTTAACACATTTCAATTGACATTCACTGCCATAGATTTCAATGGCATTGAATTTTCAACAAGTATGTTATGGGTGTCTAATGCAATGCTGTCTGATTTGTGCCATTGCTCAAGGATAAATTATACCTGAATTTTTTTGTAGACAAAGGAACTAAAGGACTAATTGTTAGGAATGCCCACAAAAAGGATTACATTAAAAAGTTAGTTTTTTTCTATAAGATATCTTCTAACATGTGACGGATCTCTACATTCTGCTTTTAATTACACATTCAGTTTGAATGCTATTAGAGTTCTGGCAGAAAAGGAAAAGATGGAATCTTTCAGGCTTCATGAAAAAACACTCCATCAATCCAATATTAACTTTCGGGGTGGATTTATAAAGTTTCCAGATCAGATCAGTTAATTTCAGATTATGTTTTCACCTTGTATCAAATCAATCTCCAAGTATAAACCTTATTTAATTTTTTAAATATAAAAATAACTTGCCCTATGTCTTTTTTTTTCTGAAATCAATGAGCATATCTTAAATCAGAGAGGGTCTGTTGCATGATTATGGAACTGTGAATTTTATTTCTTGCGTATCTAGTTTAAATCTGCATCTGTATATTATCTGCTCTTTTCCAAAATCAGAACTTTGACATTTCGCACTGCAAATTCCGACTTATTGCTCTAAACTCAATTGCCCTTCCAGCAAGTGACCTAAATAGTCTTGAATGCTGCTTGCGTTAGTCCTGGTTAAAGCACACACTATAATAGCTTTAAAATTTGTTTTCTATTATCTTTCAAATTTGTTTATTGGCTAACTTTATTCAGGCAATTGTGTAGTTCCACTGAACTTATAGATTACTGGTCTAGGGAACATATGAATGTATGCAGTGTCCCTCTCCCTTATTTCTCCTTATTTTCTCAATGCTTTTCCTCAAGTTTGCAGCATTTTCAAACTTACTAAAATACTCTACAAGGGATATAAAGAAGATATAACAAACAATTAAGTTAGCAGCAATTATCATTGAATTATTGTAGTTGATACAATGGCCTGATGTGTCATGATGGAGTCATGGTCCAGGGGAAGATATGAGGAGGTATCTGAGAGCTGGCGCTCAGCCTCTGTAATGTAGAGGCCAGTACGCCAGACTCCAACAGCACCACCCTTAATAACAAGTCTTAATAACAAAGTCAGGGTTAGATCTAAGTGCACGGAGTGCAGTCAGTTCAGCGGGAGATAGGTTGGATTGGGTTGGGGGTGGAAGAGAAATTGAGGTTACCAACGTCTAGTCGACAGTTCTTGATGAACAGATTGAGTGCAGGTAAGAGGCCAAAGGGAGGGGTCCAGGTATCAGCGTGGAGGCAGTGGTGGTGGTGGTAGAGATGGTGGTGCTTGGAGTGGGGGAATCAATGGTTGACATGAGGTTAGTGATTGTACTTGATAGAATGGCCTGATGTACCATGGTGGGGTCATAGTCCTGGGGAAGATAGTAGGTGGTATCTGAGAGCTGGTGCTCAGCCTCTGTATCAGTTCTGAGGAATGTTCAGTGGACCCGAAACATTAACTCTGATTTCTCTTCACAGATGCTGTCAGACCTGCTGAGCTTATCCATCAACTTCTGTTTTTGTTTTTGACTATCAAGGTGTAAGCTTTATTGCAACTTTACAAATTGCTAATAAACATAATATACTAGATTTGACTAGATTTAAGCATATTAAGTGGCATTCTCTATTCCATAATCATTACAAATAATGGATACCTGATCGAAGAAGAGAATGTGCATTTTTTTTTGTGAAAACAAGATCTTACATTATGGCTTGATAAACCAATAGCTCAGTGGTTAGCATTGCTGCCCGGGTTCAATTCCAGCCTCAGGCAATGGCGTGTGGAGTTTGCACTTTCCCCTGACTTTCCTCCAGGTGCTCAGATTTTCTCCACAGTCCAAAGAAGTGCAGGTTAGGTGGACTGACCACACTACAAATTGCCCCCTTGCGTCCAGGAATGTGCAGGTTAGGTGGGTTAGCCATGGTAAAAATCCCATGCAGGGTTATGGGGATAGGTCTTGGTGGGACGTTCTTTGGAGGGTCAGGACAGACTTGATGGACTGAAAGGCCTCTTTCCGCACTATAGAGTTTCTGTGATTCTCTTAAACCATTATTGCTTTTCCCACTAAAACCATTTATAATAAGAAAACAAGAGACACACCTCATCCCTGTAGAGGGGACTAGTGTAGTACATGATGTCCATAGCACTGCTATTTAACATATCACGAAGTCCACGTACTTTATCTGGGGTAATGGATTCAACAGTATCTAGAAATAAAAATAGAAAAAGGCTCCTTCTTATTAATTAAGCAATACAATATTTGAAAATAAAAACTCTGCAAGGACAATTTACCCAAACACTGATTCCAGAGATTTAAGATTTCACGTCTGAATCACGTTCCCACAGCTATTACTTGTATTGACTGTTTCTAGCACTTGGTCTTATTGATCACTCTTTTTGTATGATGCTAGAGTTCAGTGCTAACAAATGATTTCAACTTAGAGAGAGGGAGAAGGGGTGAACCACAGCAAACCCAGTATTCTTCTCATGTGGCATCCATACACACTTCCAACAAATTGACAGCTGGTGTGGAGCTTTCACTGTATTTTCTCTTGCTGCCCAGAGATTTCAATGCTAATTCTAGATCCCCAAAAATATCCTCATTTATAGATCACCTCACTCAGGACAATGTAAAACAGCTCTTTCTTGGTCTGAAAACCTCAGTACTACAGCAGTGTTTACTATTGTGCTAACAGAGCTTACCATACTTTAAGATGGCCGTTCCCCTTTAAACATTTTCTCTTGTAAGGTTTGAGCAAATATGTAGTCAGTAACTCAATGAAAAACAATTTGATCAATTAAATAATAAAGATACAACTTTAAGGAACAATGTTGTTTACAAAAGAATAGAATGCTTATTAATTTATACTGGTGTTCAATTACCCCCATTTTTTCATTGCTTGAAGATTATTTTTGACTTAAAAATAAGATTGCTTCTAATATCAAAATTCATGGGAAATATGGTCCAAAAATGCCAAGCCAAAGACTTCCTAGGTGTTAGTCATAGCAGCATGAAAGCATTTGGTTTGAGCCTGGCATGGTGAAAGTAGGATTGCAGTTCACCAGTGTACCAAAATTGTTGATGGGATTGTATGAAATGTAAGTGGGAAAGAGGATGAGTGGACATGAGTTGGCTGGAAGAGTTAAACTGAATACAAAGACAATTAATAGAAAACTAATAAAATTAAACTTATACAGCAATTTAATGAAAAAGATAATCCTAAGCCAAATGACTAACAATGATTTTGTTGCTCCCAGGCAAGTACATTCTGATTGCATTATTCCCTATTTTGTGTATACCAGCATCAGTAAGATTTGTGGAAGATGTTGTCAGAAAGGAAAGACAGCTAGAATAACAGTAGAAATTCCTTTTAGTAACAGCAAATTATTGCAAATACTGGAAATTTGACAAAAAGAAAAAAATGCTGGAAACACTGTTGATTTGGCAGTATTTGTCCATGAAGAAAGTTTAAAATTTCAGATTCTGATGAAGTTATTGGCCTGAAAGTTTATGCCAGATGTTCGCTATTGAATCTAGTAGCTTGAGTTGGGAAATTTCTTGACTTGTCAGACCTGAGTAAAAATGGCCCTGACATACAATTTTCACTCTAGAAAAGGTGGTGATGACATAGTGTCTGACCAGTCCATCCCCAAAGCTGACTGGAGGAGATGGCTATGGGAACAGGTAGGCTGGTTAAGGTGGGCAAGTTAGAAAGCCAGGCTTGGTCCTCTGTCATGGCTGTTTTAAAAGCTTTGATGCCATCTAGCTCTTGTATTCCCACTCACTACTCCCTACGATTCCTCACTTAGTACAAAGTATCAATCAGATAATTACGATGGTAAGTCTTGAAATGCAAAAGAAGTTGTTCCTTCAAACCATAAAAATGTTCGATACAGCAATTCAAAGTATCAATAACAGTTTTCCCTCTCTTCACATCTCTGTCTTTTCAGCAAGGTTGTGACAAAATGGAACAAAAGAAGAATAACTTATCATAACCTCTCAACGATGCCAATCAAAGCCAACACTCCATGTGTCAAAGCAGAATTCCTGCCCAGAAATCAGAGAATGGGGAGATATGGAAAAGGTCTCTGAAACTTTGGGTGCAAAAGTTTCCTGAATCCACACCATGGTTCAGAAGCTGACCCAACTACACAAATATAATGGGGAGTACCCCTGTATTTGGAGCCTGTTGAGGCAGGTTACTGGGATCCCTACTCAATGCTGGCACCAGGATTGGAGGCAGGAATCCTAGAATCAAGTCCCACCCATCATTTGTCCCACCTGCTTCAGAGTTGGCCTGGCTCAGTGAAAGCTATCTTTCTTCTCTGCCCAAATGATGTCAGATCTGCTCAGCATTTCAAAAACCTGGTTTTCTTTAAACAGTGCCAAATAATGCTTCATGATTATTTAAACCCAAGAAGTCAGAGATGTAGAATCATAGAGTCATATGGTAAGAAAACAGACCCCTTCAGTCCAAACCATGCGTGCCAGCCAGACAACGCAATGTGACCTAGTCCTATTTGCCAGCATTTGGCCCATGTCCTTCTAAATCCAGATGCCTTTTAAATGTTGTAATTGTACGCGTCTCCACCACTTCCTCTGGATATTTGTCCCGTACACACACCACCCTCTGTGTGAAAAAGGTCTCCCGCAAGTCCTTTTTAAAATCCTTCCCCTCACACCTTAAAACCCTTCCCCTCTAGACTCCCTCACCCTAGATAAAAGACCTTGGCTATTCACCCTATCCATGGCCCTCATGATTTTATAAACCTTTATAAGGTCACCCCTGTCTTTGATGCTCAAGGGAAAATAGCCCCAGCCTATTCAGCCTCTCTCTATAGCTCAAACCATCCTCTTGGCTCAATTCTCCGCTGAGTCTGAAATTTGTAAATCTAGAAAATGACGGGTTTTGTTTCTTTTTAAAACTTTGCAAACTCTCTCCTAATACCATTAGTAGATTTAGATTTCAATACTATCCAGTTTAATGATCTATGATTGCAAGTAGTAAAATCATATACATGTTCCATGTCAACACACTTCTATAAAATTCCATTATCCAAGTGGTACCCTTGTTTACATTTAATTACCCCCATCCAGGCATAGGTTCGACCTCCACTCCACAGGCAGAAACTCAACATATTCCAAATTTGTGGCATAAGGAAAGTGCTTTTCTTCAACCTTCCTTGCAGCTTCTCTCATCCTATCAAGTAGGAAAGAAATAAGCTTGTGTGAGGGTGTAATAAGTGTCAGGACTAAAACAGATCATGTTGCAATAAATATAAAATAAGACCTGGGGATGCTGGAGACCTGAAACACAAATTGCTGGAGAAACTCAACAGCTCTGGCAGCATCTGTGGGAAGGAAGCAGTATTAGCATTTAGAGTACGGTGACTCTTCATCAGAGTTGTGTCACCGGACTCAATGATAATGCTGCTTGCTTCCTTGGATGCTGCCAGACCTGCTGAGTTTATCTAGCAATTTCATAGAATGCTGCAACTGCAGTTACTAACTTTTAACCTTTGTTAGGTTTAAGCAAAAATAGCTGAATTGCATGGTATTGAATACTATTCCTTCAACATTCATTTAACAACACTATAAAAAAAAACTATAAAGAAAATTTCAAATGCAGCATACAAGTTATGTTCCAATTGATTATTAATTCCGTGAAAATTTGACTGAAGTTCCTTCAGGGTGATTATTTAACAGCCAATAATCTCATTTTACAAAAAAATCTTGTGCAACTGTGTTTGATTTAATTTTGGTTTCCTACAAGCAAAGTTATGCTCAAATATTGTTTGCAGAAAATATACACTACAGTATATTAATTCAGATTAATACTTGAGTCCAGAAATAAACTTATTGCAAACTAAACTTTCAGTTACAATCCTTCACAGAGATCCAGTGTGAGAAATAAATTGTCCTTCCATTGTCAATGTCTGCCTATGTTTTTCCCTTAAATACTTCGAGCAACTTGAGGTGCCATTCTGTTCAGTTTGGAATGAATGTGGTCCAGGCTATCAAATTACTAAAAGAAAAAAAATACACAATTTTCTCTTGCAAAAGACAATCCTGAGTGGCTACTAAATCTGGAATCATTCAGAGTCATAGAATCCTGACTGTGTGGAAGCAGGCCATTCGGCCCATCGAGCCCACATCAGCCCTCCAAAGAGCATCACAGACAGAACCACCCACCCCCTAACCCCCGCCAACCCACCCTTTCCCTGTAACCCTGGCAAATCCACCTAACTTGCACATCTTTGGTCTGCAGAAGGAAACTCACGCAGGCACAGGGAGAACATGGAGAAATAGACAGGTGCCCGGGGCTGGAATTGAACCTAGGGCTCTGGCACCGTGAGGCAGTTGTGCCAACCACTGAGCCACCGTGCCTCCCCTACTAACCAAGAAATCTTGAAGTAACCAAGAAAAATGCAGTTTTTAATTACCTGTTTTTGTGTGCTTCGGAAGAAGGTCTGAATGTATTTCAATGAAAGCCCGTTTCAGTTTCAAAGCCAACTACAGAACCATGAGTTTTAAAGCCTGTGATAGCTATGGCAGATTTCCTCCCCTAAAAAGGAAATTAATGAACCCAATGGGTTTTATGACAATTGATGATGGATGCCATGATCACTGCAACTAGCTTTATCTTCCAGATTTATTAGTGGAATTTAAATTCCATCTGTCTTGGTGTTATCTCCAGAATGTCAGCTTTGGCCTCTGCTAATGTCACCAGCCTAGAAATGTATTGTGCCATCACCATGCTCTAAAGTTAGCAAGTACACTGGACTGCTTTCTGTAAGTAGACTGCTGTTTAAAATTTACATTAAGTGAAAAAGGATGTGGCTTATTGTGTCTTTTTTTTGTTTGCTCACCTGTTTCATACAAATAAACTATTTGCTGGTCAAAAGGCACATTAAATAATACAACAGCATATATCCAATTCACCTCTGAATGTGTTCTGGAGTTCCTGAGGGTAAACTAAGCAAAGTTTAAAGAAGAGTTCTCTTTCACAATTTCTGGGTCATGCTACAATCCACCTAGATACTGGGCTTACTCCAATTGTAGGAACCATACGTTTCATTTATATTTTAGTAATTGGTGAGAATAAGACAGAGAAAATGACAAGTATATCCCAAAAGCACAATGTGAATTAACACATCTTTCTTTATCTTTGTAACTAATAGTCTGCATTTTTCTGATGTGAGTGAACTTATAAATCAAGAACTTTTGTTGGGATCTCTTGACATGAGCAATGTTCAAGGCAGATTGGACTGTGTTTTCAGTTGTACAAAGTAGTATGATAGAACCAGAGTGAAAAATGAAATAATTGCAAAGTAACCACAACGTCTTAGCATAACAGCTGATACACTAAATGGATGCCATCAACTTCTCAGAAAAGATATGTGTTTCTGAAAACAGGGAGGTACTTTGCAGCATAAAGATTACTTTAATGGGGCCTAATCAGAGATATCCCAGGCTAATTGATCCAAACATTCCTGTCATGGAGAAAATCTGAGATCCATCCCTTACTAAATCTTGCATATTTTCCTCAGAGGCTTTATCAAAAATCAACACAAAATATCTCTGACAAAACTATGTACCATAATATATAATGTTCTATAACGTTGGCACGCTGAACATTTGGCAACATTGATTGCATTAAACAACTAATGTACAAGGATTGTTTTAGTAAACTGCTTAACTAGATTGAAGTGCTAGGAGACTAATCATTTACTGGGTAAGTCTATAAAATTTGGACCTAAAACCACACTGGTAAAATACTTGATAAAGTGCAAAGATAGCACTACAATCTATAGTGGTATGGATAGGGTTATAGAAACAGATCACTGACCCCTAACAAGTACACAGCAACATCTACGCTCCACTCAAACCTTCCCTCATCTATATCTACAATTGAAATCGTCTATATTCCCTTCTTGCTCATATGCTTTCCCCAAAGCTGATCTGTACTACTTGCTTCAACGATGTTCTATGGCAGCAAGTTTCACATTCTTACCACTATGGTGAAGTTTCTTTAGAATTCCCATTTCCCTATTAGAATCCTTGGTGACACTTGTATCGATGGCCTTCAATGCATCATATTGTCGCTGCATCAACCCTATCAAAACCTTTCATAATTTTAAACACCTGTACTTAGTCTTTTTCTTTCAAGGGAAAAGATATACAGCCTGCCAATCTGTTCCTGTGTTGTGGTCAGAGGGCATATAGGAGAAATCCTAAAGAAAACATTTTCTTCTCTTGCAATTGCTTCTATATTTTTGCATTTAAACTGATTATTTCCTAAGTGGCTGAGGTTGATCCCATGATCAGAAACTTCTGGAAATATGAACACACTTCATTGCTTAGACATTTCAGCTAAAGCTAACACAAAGCACTTGCAGTCAAGCCTCCAGTCAGCTCTGGATAAAGGAAAACATCAAATTGCACTACATTAAAATGGACTCTACTGCTTTTCAGTGACCTCCTCACTATACAATCAATCCTCTGGAGGAAGGCAAAGCTACACTGTTAGCTTAAAGTCCATCCAATTAGACCACTGAGATGGGTCATCTGAAAGGCCTTTCTTTGTCACACTGACGGAAATAGGAGCATGTTGAATTGCTTACAGATGCAATTACCTAGGTTCGAATCCCACCTCAGTAAATATTAGAATTTGAATTCAACAAAAAAAATCTCGAATTAGGAATCTACCATCACCTATGAAACCATTGTCAATTGTCAGAAAAATGCAACTGGTTCCCTCAAGTTTGTTCAGGGAAGAAATCTGGCATCTTCACCTGGTTTGGCTACATGTGACTCCAGACCCATAGAAACATTGTTGACTCTCAACTGCCTTCTATAATGGCCTAACAAGCCACTCAGTGTGCCAATCATTACGAAGTCACAACAAAGAAATGAAATTGGACAGACCACCCAGCATCAATGTAAGCAATAGAAAAGACAATGGAAGAAACAGCCCCGTTGACCCTGCAAAATCCTCCTTATTAACATCTGGGGCTAGTGCCAAAACTGGGAGAGAGTCATCTCTCAAACTAGTCGACATTGTCATACTCACAGAATCATACCAAACAGACAATGTCCCAGACACCACCATCACCATCCCTGGTTATGTCTCATCCAACCAGCAGGGCAGACCCAGTGGCAGTGGTGTACAGTCGGGAGGGAGTTGCCCTCAGAGTCCTCAACATTTAATTCAAGCCCCATGAAGTCTCATGGCTTCAGTTTAAACATGAGCAAGGAAACCTCCTGCTGGTTACCACGTATTGTCCTCCCTCAGCTGATGAATCAGTACTCCTCCATGTGGAACAACACTTGGAGGAAGCACTGACAAGGGTGCAAAATGTACTCTGGATCGGGGATTTCAATGTCCACCACAATGTGACTTGGCAGTAGCACTAATGATTGAGTTTAGGTCCTAAGGACATAACTGCTAGATTGGGTCTACAGTAGGTGGTGAGGGAACCAATAAAAAGGAAAAACATATTTTTCCTCATCCTTACCAATTTGCAGGCTGTAGATCCATCTATACAAGACCACTTAACAGTCCTTGTAGAGGCAAAGTCCTGTCTTCACAATGGGAATACCCTTCATCGTGTGTGTAACATTATCACTGTGCTAAATGGGACAGACTTCAGACAGACCTGTAAACTCAAGCCTGGCGATCCATGAGATGCTGAGGGCCATTAGCAGCAGCACTGTACCCTAACACAATCTGCAACCTCATGGACCGGCATATGCCCCACCCAACTATTAGCATGAATTAGCTGAAAATGATTGTGGTTGTTGGAGGTCAGTCATCTCTGCAGGAATTCCTCAGGGCTGTGTCCTAGGTGCAACCATTTTCAGCTACCAATCAACAACCTTCCCTTCACCATAAAGTCTGAAGTGAGGATTTTCGCCAGTGATTGGTACTGAACATTGTGCATTAGTCTCTCAGGAGTCACAAAATAAAGCAGTCCATGTTCAAATGCAACAAGATCTGGTCAATATCCAGGCTTGGCCTGAGAAGTGGCAAGTCACATTCATGCCAAGCAATGAATATCTAAGAGACAATGTGACAAGTGCCTCTTGTCATTCAACTGTGCTACCTTCACCAAATTCCCCCACTATCAACATGATTGGGAATTACCAGTGACCAGAAACAGATCTGGATTTGCCACAAACACAGTGGCTACAAGAGCA